GAGGTTTTGGGCTCTTGTAGGTTGCCAGGCTCCCCTCTCTCCCCACTGCCCTAACCCTTCTCATGCCCTGCCCGCCGTTGCAAACTTACAACTTCACAGGGCCCAGACCTCTCCTGCTCCGGCGGCACCTCTCTTTCTCTCTCTCTCCCTCTCGTCAGCCCGGCACTCGATACGGTGGAGCCAAGGCGCGCTGACCTCCCCAAGCAAGGCGGCGGTGTAGGTTGCCAGGCTCCCCTCTCTCCCCACTGCCCTAACCCTTCTCATGCCCTGCCCGCCGTTGCAAACTTACAACTTCACAGGGCCCAGACCTCTCCTGCTCCGGCGGCACCTCTCTTTCTCTCTCTCTCCCTCTCGTCAGCCCGGCACTCGATACGGTGGAGCCAAGGCGCGCTGACCTCCCCAAGCAAGGCGGCGGCGGCGGCGGCAGCTGTCTCTTTCCCTCTCCGATTTGCTCCGCTCTGCTCGAACTGCAACGTCACACGCTCCAGAGCCTTCCAATCCTGGCTGGTCCTTTAACCCCAAACTCAACCACCCACCCCCGGTTAAGGAACGGAGTGGCGCCCGCTGCAGGCATGCCTTTATCGGGGGATACCATTATCGGAGGAAATGGGGGTGATTGGGTGACAGGGCTGCTTATTCTTTTGCGGGGTGAAGTTTGACTGTTTGTTGGTGCATCCTTTGGGTGTGTGAATGGATTTGGGTTATATACCCCCGGAGTAAAAATGGTACCCAGTCTGCTGAATAAAGTCAAATGTCGTTTTTGCAAGATCAGTACCTCAGTAGAGAGGCAGTATAGTGGGTAGCGTGTCCAATTAGGACTCGTAAGACTTGGATTTGAATCACACGCAGCCATGAAAACTCACTGCATGGGTGTGGCAAAGGGTAAACCATTTTTGAACATCTCTCGTACCTCAAAAACTCAATGAAGTCAGAAGTGACTTGAAGGCTCATAGCATAACTCAGTTGTTGGAAAATAAGTGGAGGATCTATCACAGTCCTATGTGTTTTTTATGATGATGAATTTGGTGCCCTGTTCCCAATTCTTGCGTGCGCATCTGTGTAAACTTGTGTGCGTGTGTGTGTGTGTGTAAACAGCCTAAACAGTTTATGTGACCCAACACCACAAAATGTGAATCTTTATTACCCATTATGACCGGTCTCCATTATAGAGAAATGGAGACCTGTCATAATGGGTAATATAGAGAGAGGCATCATTCTCTGCGGTAAGAGGTTGAGTATCATGGAAACTCATCACATGTTAATATGATTTGAACAACAAAAGACAGTTTTGATTGTTGTGAGCTGCAATTGAAATAGAAAAAAATACTGTATGTTCAAAACACAGTGAAACACCCTCTTTCACATATAATCTTGAACTGGAGCTTAGTTTATAAAATTGGGTCACTAAGGCTCTCAGGACTTCCTGGCAGTTAGTCTCCTCCTGGCACCCCTGGAACATGCTATTAAGGGACAGCCCCTGGACCAATGAGTGCCAGAATGAAATGCCCTTCCCCCCCACCACTCTCAGTGTAGGAAACTGGCATTTCTCTTGCATGTACATCCCTGTCTGTTTACAGTCACATATATCCTCAACCACACACGGCACATATATGTGTATATATTTGTTGTTGTTTAGACATTCAGTTGTGCCCGACTCCTCGTGACCCCATGGACCAGAGCACAGCAGGCCCTCCTGTCTTCCACTACCTCCCTGGAGTTTGGTCAAATTCATGTTGGGAGCTTCGATGACACTGTCCGGCCATCTCGTCCAGGAGATGGTATACATTTACAATATGATAATTGTACTGTCTAAAAAAACTAGCATATGAATTTCCCCTGAATCTCATTTCACTGCTCTCTCTCTCTCTCTCTCTCTCTCTCTCTCTGGGGAGGGCAGGGCAAATCCCATTACATTCAAAAGGATTGATTTCCCAGTCAGTGTAAGTAAAAAATGCATCCTTGGTCGTGAGTAGAGAGTAGATTTTGTTGGATTGTACCCAACCCCAATAATGGTAAAACCAAACCAGACCCAGTCAAAGAGCGACCCGAGAAAATCTGCAGTTTGGGCTCATTCAGTGAGTGTAACCAAGTTCCTTGACTTGTTTCCTTCATGTATTTATATCTCTGTCCTTGACGAGCCACCCCTTGTTTTCTATCACCTAGAAAGCCCGCTTGAGATATGCAAAGCGGGGGGGGGGCTGTGGCAGCGGGAATGGTTTATACTTCTATTCAACTGTTTGGAAGGGGGTGCTTTCTCCCCACTTCTCTCCTTGTAGAGACCAGCGGGCCTGGCGAGGCCAGGCGGAAGGGCACAGAAACAAATCTTTCCATGTTCCCTGCTCTTGTTATCCCTTCTTCCTTTCTCGCCTCTCCCTCTCACCCCAGAAGGAACGCTTGTGTGGTGGAATTGTCCAGTATATCCTTTCTGCCTCAGCCCTTGGCCCTCACAGAGGACCAGTTCCGCCGTCCATGGGTCCTCACTTTCTACCAGCACCCAGCCCTCCTAAGGTTCTCCAGCTTCAAGGGTTTTCAACTCAGCCTCTCCCCCATTTCTGCCGTCACAGTCTCCTTTTCCTCCTCCTCTTCTTCTAGAAGAATCCTCCTCTCTCCTGCCTCTGGTTAATTTCTTTTTTTCTTTTTTTTTTTTTGCCTTCCTCCTCTCCCCGGGGGTCCTAGCTCCTGTCCGTCTCTCTTTTCCTGCTTTTTCTCCCTGTTCTCCCTGTTCTGTGTCAGACACAGGGCCCCCTTACATCTATAGGAGAGCTACTTTACTTTACTTTTTACTTTTATTGAATTTATACCCCACCCCTCCGGACAAAGTCTACTTGGGGCGGCTAGAAGTGGGACGCTTTTCCAGGGCCATTTGGAAGCCCGAGGGTTCTGCCAGCAGAGACCAAAACGTCCTTGCCCTCAGCCTCACACAAGGGCAGCCACTGTGCCCAGAAATGAAGGAAGGAGAAGAACTCTTGAAGTGTGTCACGTGACATCAAGAGCAACTTCCATTAAAAAAAATTTGAGACCATATATGGTATGAATAGAGAATGTTTCTTTTTCTCTTTTTTATACATTACAAAAACAAGGCCTGGTTAGAATGGCTTTCTCTCCTCCCTGCTGAATGAGATACGATCTCTTAACAATTTTGCTTGGGCAAAAAACTGTTTTAATTCAACAAAGCCTAGCCTTGAACGTTTAATTCTATCACGTGTGCCTCACTCCTGCTTTTGTTTTCAGGATCCTTGGAACTGCAAACTTGGACACACTCCCTCAACACCGGAAGTAGGCATTTCTCCTTTAGAATAACAGCCTCTTGGTGAACAGGAGAACTTCTGTGCTGTGCTTTAAATCTGGCTTTGGTTAAACCCGTTGAACACATGAGCAATGGCAAAAGTAATAAAGTATCATTCGTTATAATAAGTAGCTTGATCCAGCAATATGGGCCTGAAAGTTCTAGCACTCCCCCCTGTCAAGATGACATGTCAGAGGCACCATTTGTCTTATCACCACAGCCCTGTCTGAAGGAAGCAGGGTCATCTCAACCATTAGCTGGGGTGAGACAGTCAGTTCAAGTCTGGAGGCAGTAGCGGCAAAGCCCCCCCAGTACCACACACTCACTGCCAGTTGTGTTGGAGCCCTTGGACTTTAAGTAGCCATTTCAGTGGCACAGTCACTTCTGTTTCAGCTATTTTAATAATGTCAGACCCTGAGGTTCCTTAGGGCTAAGGTGGTATGGGAAGGGCGGCTGCTTCTCCCGCACTGCCTTGGTCCTGAGGACCCTTAGAACCACGCATTATTAAAACAGCCAAGAGAAAAGTGCCTGGGCCATCGAACTGACCATTCAAAGATCCAAAAATGCCAAACCCTCTCTCTCATTCCTTCCTCTCTCACTCCTCCCTCTCTCATTCCCACCTCTGTGTAGCAGAGCTGAAGGGAGTGGGAGAGAGGGGACTCGTTTCAGCATGAGCTGTTATGAATCAAATTCCACTTCTTCAGCATATGGAGTATGCATACTATGCCCTTTGTATTTATACCTATTCCTATGGCAGTGAGGATCATGACCAGTTGAGAATACAGGCAAGAGACAAAATGGCAACACACTTTGTACTTGTGCTTGGCACAGCCTCATCCAGGTAAAAAAATGATGGTGTTTTCACCCCAGGCCTCATGCTGAGCTTTTAGAAGATTCATCACCAGCCCCCCAGTGTTCTCCCTTGAGACTTTGTGCCCATGTGTATGCATTCCCCAGATTTCTCCCTTTTTGGATAAGAAAGTTGGGCAGGACTGACACAAATACAAACACATGTGGTGAACCTTGGCACACCTGGGAAGAGGCAAAGATAAGCACCCAGACTTTAAAGCCACCTCTCTCATACAAGCCCCCCCCCCAAAGTTTCTGCCACCCACCACCCCAGCACCACTTTCCCTGAGATTTGGAAACCCAGGGAAGCACAGCACTTTGCTAAGACTTTGGGCAGGCCTTGAGAACTGACAGCCTTCTTCCCAAGTAGTAGTCAGGTTTTGAGAAAAGATGCATGCCTAGTTTGAAATGCATCTCCACCCCCAAAGCAGCTTTCTTGATACACTCCGAAGCATGACTCTGTTATATATGCTCTAAGTCAGGAGTGGGCCACTGTGGTCCTCCAGATGTTTTGGACTGCGACACCCACGGTTCCTTACCGGTAGCTATGCTGGTTATAGTTGCCTGGAATTGTAATCCAATAATATGCAAATGCCATATATTTCCCACCCCTGCCCTAAATATTTCCAAGAAATCCCTACAAGCGGAACCTGCAACAAAATTTTGCAATGCGTGGATTGCTCCTGACCGTGATTATAGCTATCAATTTCAATTTTCAGGGTGCTATATTCCATTTTCCCTTCCTGTAGTTTTCTTATATATACATATATAAAATAAGGAAAGTGGTTTTTTCCCCCTTCTTTCCTTTCTTGGATTGTATATCTTACATTGTATACACCTACAGTATACCAAACACATTATCTCAGTGTATACTGTAGGTGTTTGGTATACTGTAGGTGTATAAGCCAAGAAAGTGAGTCAGGGAAGAAGGAAAAAACCCACTTTCCTCAGTGTATGACAATGTTCCTTCCTAACTTAGCATGCTTACAGTCAAGCTAGCAAAAGTATGTAAAGTAGCGTTTTGAAATTGTGTGCCAATGAAAGATAAGCAGAAATCTGTTAGTTGGTTGTTCTGGGTTTTTCGGGCTCTTTGGCCGTGTTCTGAAGGTTGTTCTTCCTAACGTTTCGCCAGTCTCTGTGGCCGGCATCTTCAGAGGACAGCAATCTGTTATCTTAGAAGGATGTGCAAAGATATTAAATAATAGGATATATTAATAGTTGAAAAGTAATATCATGATCGAAATGGCAAGGAATATCTGTAACTAGCCCTAGGCAACAGTCTTTATTGCAGTAAGCATCTCCCTCTATTCCATGGACCTACCTTTCTGTCTCCA